ATTTTAAGAACTTGTAATTAAAATTCAATATGGAATTGAATGAATTTAAATCTTAACAAAATCAGATCTGATGATTTTGCTTATTTCTATAACTTCTGTTACTATACCATAATAATGAGTTTTATTTTTAGCACAATAGGGTGTTTTTGTTACTTTTTATTTCTTGATTATATATTTCCTTTTAAAAGTCATGAATAGTAACACTGAAGCACTGAGCTTCTAGTGGGGCCTAACTGTGATCTAATTGTCTCTCCAGGAATGGAGATAGCATCATGGTGGAGATCAGTGCCCAGTGGATCAAAGCTAGATCTTCAGGTAAAGGAGAGATTGTGTAATAACATACTTGTTCTCCAGACAGCACTACCTGTAAATAAACCACAAGAAATGAAAATTTTGTGGTTCACTTGCAAGTTCTGTGAAATTCCATCTATGTTCATAACCATGATGAAGCCTTTATGGACAATTACCCCAACTAAACCTAATTTCTTAGGCATATTTGGGGTTATTTTACAGGTTGAGACAGACTCTCCTTTGTTATAAATAGCAAGTTTCATTTTTTTTCTAGATTACAAAATTTAAAAATGTAATAATATTTGGTAAAAACCTTAACAAGATATGATTCAAGAAAGCTTGAACTGGACAGGTATTTTTAAAATATATTTTTTTCTACAAAAGTACATTGGATTATCTGTAACTGAATTAGGCAGTTGATTTTGACATTTAATGGGAAAGTTTTTACTTATTACTAAACAATGCAGACAATTGGTGAGTTGTAGACAGTTTGGTTTACAAAACAGAAATTACAAGTAACATGAGCAGACTGTGCGTCTGACTGGAACCATAGAGATGTGGATGTGATTACAGCATTAAAGGTGCAGGAGGATAAAAGAAGAAGCGGAAATGTGCCTTTCCTTTTTTCTTTGTTTGAGACTTTCACTTTTGGATTGTAACATAATGGCTGTTTAAAACTGCTAATCCTGCTTGGTTCACACTCATGTGCTTCCCAAGGTATGCCACAGGGGGTGAGCTACTTCACACCAGAAAGAGTGGTTTTTCCACAGCATCATCCAGGGCCCTCTCCCTCCTCTGAGGGAGGGAAAGGCATTGCAATTGTGAGGTTGTGAGGTTCCAGCGCCAGCAAGATTCTAACTGTCCACACAAAGCACTGCCTCTTAACATAATGGTGACTCAAAAGGGGAGAAAAGGGTCATTAGAGTAGCCTTGGAGAAGGCTACTCTAGAGTAATTTCAGAAAATGTTAATTAACTTGGCAGAAAATTGGCTTAGTCACTTGAGACTAAATTTAGTTTTTGAAAAAAAAATAGGTGAAAGACATATAGAGATGAAATAACCTAAAAAAATGAAAAACTCAGTAAAACAGATGTCTGAAGATATAAAACAAATCAATGACAAAAGTGGGAATTTTGGAAAGTAAGAAATAAATTATAGCTAGAGAGCTAGAGACAGAGTTGACTAATTTAAATAAAACAGATTTAATATGTACAAAGTAAAAATGGAAAACAGGTATGTTCATTTGTGATGTTTTATTGAATTAATTATGTAATACAGAACAGTTTCTTCCCAATTATTCTAAATAATGTTATACCTTTACTCTTTCTCAATCTATAGATTTCCAAAGCATTGTTGATTTCTCAAGTATGACTGATAAATTTTCAGTATCTTTAAACCTTTAAAATGCCTTGAATGTAATGTTGAGCTATTTACATGGAATGTGCTTGTTCCATAATGAAATTATATCCATGTAAATTTATTGGCATTCAAGGCATCACTAAAAAAGGAAAAGCTGCTATGCAACTGAGAATGTGGAGGTCATTTTACACAGGAAAGAAAAATATTTATTTTGCATGGCTTCTGCCAGCACTGAGATGGCTAAATTCAGTTCCAAGCAAAGTCTGTAGCAGCATACTTCTATGTTGAATACAATAACAGGATTTGCTAGTTCTCACCTTTTTATTCATCCTCAGTGCTCAATTTCTGATCTTTACCTGCTTATCTATTAGATTCCCTCTTTGTCTGCATTCTGTTTATTCCTCTTGAATTCTCACTAATCTTGTTCTAGTATTTTTCTTTTGTGAAAGTATAAACTAATCATATTTTCCAAGCTTCATCAAAGCCCAGAAAAACTGATGAAAAAGTATGTATAACAAGTCTGCATTAGCTATATTCCAAGAAAGTAGTAAACAAGAATACATTCTGATAAGATAGTTCATTTCATTAAATCTCCATGTTTCCTTTTCCTAAGCTACCTGTCATTTACTTAGCACAGTTTGTTCCCTGCACTTTGATCATGTTCCTGCCAAGTCTACATTAAAAGAAATTGCTTTTCTAAATTAAAAAGATAACATTATTAAACTTTGGAATTTTGAATTTTAAAAGAACTCTTTTTGTGAACTCTTTAAAAGAACTCTTTTTGTGAACTCTTTAAAAGAACTCTTTTTGTGAACACAAAAAGTTAGATCTTTTATCCAGATTGCTAACTGGCCATTAAGAATATTATTGCCTATGTGATTAGGTGAGTGATCTCTTTAGCATCTGTGGGGGGGGGGGAGTAGAATTCTCTAATTTTACAGTATAAAGCTTCTGTGCATAGATAATATGGTAGCTTTTTTATATGTATAACATTAATAAGGATCTTAAAATGAACAGCATGGAGAAGGTAAGCCAACATTAGAAACTAATATTATTTTTAATGCAAATGTACAAATATGTACAGGGAGAGCCAATTCTATAAATATTGACACCTGCCTCGTGACTAATTTCTGATTCCTGAGAATAAGTTATGAGAACTAGAACTTTACAATTGTTTTACCTGTCATGTTAAAATGCCTAAAAAGTATCTATAGATTTTTGTGGCTTTTAAAAATCTGAATTGGATACAAGTTGCAGCAGTTACATCATTATAACAGGAAAGTATATATCAAATTTAATACCATTTGGAACATGATTTTTAAGTTACTTTATTAATGTGGCCATTTACTTTATTAATGTGGCCATCAGAAGAAATGAAACCTACAGACCAATGAGATGATTAAGGTGTGATGAAGCAAACCAAAGTAATGAAAATTAATGTAGGAATTTTCAGTTCATGGTACAAAATCTTTTGATTCTAGTAACTTGGTCAGACCACTTGCCCAGTAATGCAAAAGCTCCCAATAATTCTTTCCTAGAACAATTCAATGGCTCCCTGCTACTGTCATTCCAATTTTTGATTAGTGATTCTGTCTAGTAAATGCAATATGGTCAAAATAAAATGGAAACAAAATAAAAAGCAAAATTAGGAAGACTAACAAATGCAACTATAGTGTGTGTGTGTGAGAGAGAGAGGGGGAGGAGAGGGAGAGAGAAAGAGAAATACAAGCTAGCTAAGGAATTTGCAGGAGGAATAATGAACAAGAAAGGTGACTAGGAAAAAAAACTTGTAGAACTGAAATGTAAAAACATGAATGTAGATCTATAAATGGTTTGGTGATTCATAATTCTATTTCATATTTAGATTACTTCAAGTATCTTTGACTACCATCACTATTAGATAGTAATGAAAATAGCTTTAAAAATCTGAAATAATTTTAATTGCATGACAAAATCTTAAGCAATAATGGTTGGGAAAGTCAATCCATTTTCAGAGACAACAAAACAATTGTTATGAATGATTCAAACTATAATTGAATCTAAACAATGTAGAATTAATACTTGTTCATAAACATTCAATTCCAGATATTGCTCAGAGATAGCACTTTCCTGATTTAGCAAGTCGATGACGCATAGCTCTGTTAGAACAGTAGGTAGAAGCTATAGTTAAGAGATGTTTGCCCTTCTACTTAGACAGTTGCAACTCTTTTGGATTGGTAAGCCTTGGTGATAATGACTCATGCACCTACCACGTTTTGGCTACTGTAATACATTCTTTGTGGATCTGCTTATGCAAATAACTCAGAAACTATAGCAGGTACAGAATATAACAGCTTGTTTGTTGGGAAAAGAAGCTATTACAACTATTATACCATATACGCTTGTTATTGTACTGGTTGCTAATAGCTTTCTTAACCCAATTCGAAGTGGTCATTTAAACCTATAAAGAACCTCACAGTGTGAGTTACCTTGAGAATCATTTCATCCCATTCTTCTTGTCTTATGAACTCATCAAGAGAAGAGATACTTAGGATGCCAGCTCCACAGAGTTGAAGAAACTGGACCTGATGACAGACTTTCTCTATGGTGATCCCAACATTTTGGAAATCCTCTGCTGTCAGAGATGAACCTGGCCCTTCACTATAGTGCTTCCACAAGGCACTTAAAATTATACATTGCTCAGGTGAGCTGTTGAATTTTTAGTAAAGATGTCAATCCTTGGGTTTGCAATTGTTGATCTGGGAGTGATAATACTGGTAATATTGTTTGTGTGTTCTGTTTTTCATGGGATGTATTCTGTTATGTGAGGGGTAATGTATAAATTTTAATACATAAGTCAGTGACATCATACTCATTAATCAATAGGTCATACTTACTAATTATTGTTTTTCACCATCCAACAAAACTATATTGCATTTGCTATAGGAACGATGTACATGGGAAAATATAACATTGTCATTTACTAAATTAGATGTCATATATTAAGGTAGACTTTAACCAAGGATTGTTATTATGTCATAGTGTTTAAATGGGACACAGGGCAAATCATTACATTTTTATATTTAATTTTACTGTAAAGATAAATAATATAACAGAATCCTGCAAACATATCTTGAAGATCATTACGTGGCTTTCAGTTAGTCACATTCTCGGTCTAACCTACCTGAGTAGGTTGTTGTGAGTATAAGATGGGCAAGATGTATGTTCTGTAAAATCAGACTATACATGTAATCAATAATCAACACACGGGGAAGCAACACTATGCATCAAGTGCAACGTGACCTTGGCTCCATTTCTGTGCCATAACATTTCGGTTGAAACCTCTTCAGATTCTCCTCCATCCTTTCAGCCTGAATAATTCCCCACTGACCTGTCTCTGAGAAGACTCTGAGTGACATTGGACCAGCCTCTCACCGAACACCCTGGCGTACGGGGGAAGGGAGAAATGAGGATGGTGGTTGGTTACAGACCATTCCCCGCCTGGGGTACTGGGGAGGAGTGAAGAGCCCGGGCGCGTCACGGTGGGTGTGCGCGCCTCGGAGCTTGGGATAAAGGGCTGGCAGCGAGAGGCGCTCCGCTCCCCAGCAGCCGGCTACCCTAGAGGTGCGAAGTTCTCCCGTGCTGTCGAGGGAGAAGGAAGACTAAGAGACACCACATAGTCAAAGCGCGGATAAACGACTGCGGAACTGCGGAGAAGTGCCACTTGGGCACAAACTTAGGAGCGCACAAGTTGGCAGCAGACGCCTAAGGGCTCCTAGCAGAGCCGGAGGTAGCCCGCCCTTTTCTACGACTTGGCTGCAAACTTCAACGACCTTCAAAACTGTGTAGTTCCACCGCGATCCGCTCTCGAAAGAGGCCCGAGGTAAGACGCTTCCTTCTTTGCTGCAAACGTGCGCGTGCGCACACTGGCCAAAGTCCCAATTTCCAGCGCGATTCTTTTTCTGCCGGCTGTTTGCATCCCCGTGAAAGAAAGCAGTCCTTTGAACCCAGGGGCGAAACTGCTTGTGAATTTTTAGCTTCTCTCCCACCCGGTGGCCTCCCTGGAGTTCGGCGTCGTTCCCAGAAACAGAAAAGAAGAGTCATTGTCCCAGGCAGTAGGAACTCGTTGGCTCTTGCGAACAAGATAGAGAATAAAAGAGAATTGGGGGTGGGTGGGTATTGAGGGACGTTGATCCCTCTATCAGAGTTGTTGAAATCTACCGATTTTAAAAAAGTATCTTATAATTTCTTATAATAGGGATGTGATTATGCAAGGCAAGGGAAAAGACATTAGTCAAAGGTACATAAAACCTGCCTCTTTTATTTTTCACCGGTTTGTAGGATTGTGTCCACTTTCCATTTATTAATGAAATGGTTGTAGGTTCCATTGATTTCTGAGAGAATTGAATCTTCTTTATTGCAGGTACACAAAACAAATCTTATTACTTTTCTACTACAGTTTAGAAAGAACTCTAAGTAATTTTTTTTGGTGAGGGGGGAAGGAAGGGGGTGGCTTGTAATTTTTGTCAAACACCTTGAATATGAATTGTGACTAAAGGTTTGAAAACACTCATGAATGTTGTTATACAGAAAATATTAGTTCTAAAAATAGAACGATTTCGTTCAAATTTACATAAAGTTCAGATTAGTGTTAAATATACTTTTGTGTCTCAATGAAACTCCCAAAACCTCTTATCAGAAAGTCCTCTTTATCCAATGTAGATAAAAATTTAAGTCAATTTAAATGTCGCTGAGTAATGGGTTCATGTATCATTAATTAAAGAAAACCAAATTTGGGATAATTTAACCAGATTGGAAACCACTGAGTTAGAGAGTTTATCACAAATTTAAATGTCTTCTGACTGACTAAAAGGTAGAAATATGACCTGTAATGTTTTGTAAATAAATGTGTTTGGCTTGCAACCTAAAATGATTATTTTTTTTATAAAAATATTTTTCTGCAGACCTCCTTAGATAAGGTATTTTCCTTTTTATGCTTTAAATTCATAGTTAATTTTAAGTTATAAAACTTATTCAGAAGAGATCCTTGGAAGACAGTATAATTGTCAGTTAATTATATAGTTTTTTTCTTTTCTAAGTGCTTTCGTAGGAAATATTGGTTTCTGTCAAATAGAGCCACAGTTATGCATTTAAGTAGTCCAACATAATGCTAGTGAATGGAGATGAAGATATTGCCATTCAGAATCAATGCAAATATGGTCTCTTTCCTCTTTGGTTATGATGCTGAAACAGCTGTACTTTCACTGCTGCAAAATAGCTTGACTCTCTTTTGCCATTTTAGCCAACAGATCTGAAAGACGCCTTTGGTTTGGAATTAACTCAAGAAGAGTTTTGACATCGTTCATCATGAACAGTGAAGAATGGTTTAGAGTAACTGCTTTGCTTGTCATAGCTCAAGCAGTTTCTACTATGGTGCTTCCCAATACAACAGTATTTGAGGACATGCTGGAAAAATACATGGATGAAGATGGTGAATGGTGGATTGCAAAGCAAAGAGGAAAAAGAGCTATCACTGACAATGATATGCGAAGTATTTTGGATATTCATAATAAATTACGGGGTCAAGTTTATCCACAAGCTTCCAATATGGAATACATGGTAAGGGTGTATTGTTTTCGTCTTCAGAAATTGTGTGGAGGGAATAGGCATGGAGAAGAACAAAATGATAGAATGATTTCTACCTTTGAACAACATAGAAATATTATCTACTTGATGTTATATATGCTTTACAGTGTTTTCTATTTATCTTTCATGAAGTTATAAAAACAAAGCAGCACTTTCTTTTCATATCAATTTCATAGTTTCTTCCAGAAATGCTAAAATGTTTTCTCAAATTCACATTTTTAAAGTTATATTATTAGGCAATTGGGTCATCCTTTCAGAGATATTTAGTTATCTAAACAGATAGACAGAATGATCATGGGTGGGCATAAAAGGCAGTGGGAATAGGAGTCATTTTCATTTTCCTGTTGGCTTCCCCATTTACTTTAATTTTGGGAAGCTGGCAAGAAGGGTGGGAAATTATGATCACATGACCATGGCCGACTGGTGCGCTGCAGTGGTTACAACTTTGTGCAACTATGAGAACTTAGTGGTGAGGAAAAAGACAGTTGATAATTAGACTAAGAACAGAAAAAAGAGAGAACTAGTATATGTGGACAAAAAGGAAGGAAGGAAGGGAGGGAAAATGGGTAGAAAGGAAAGAAAGAAATGAGGTGGAGAGAGAGACTGTTAGCATTTGTGACATAGTAAAATTTTTGAATAAAGAGTAAAAAGGATGAAGTATTGAATGGAATGAATGAAACTAAAGTGTGTTTCTAAGAGAAAGGAGAAGGATGTAGTAGATTGAATAGGTTTGATCTTACAGAGTGGAATTGATGAATATATTCATGGAAATGAAAATGAAATATGCATGAGAGTTAAACTATATTACAGGGAAAACCAATTGGTTATTATTTAGATGGTAGTGTAGGAACCAGTAGGATTGCGTATGTTAGTGATAAGGTGTATACATTAATGTATGCATGCATTACTCTATGCACAGAACAGACAGGTTTTCCCAGATCCAAACATTGTTATATTCCTGTGTTGACCCAGAAATTCTGTTGATCTGGGAAGATCAGTAGCTGAGCTGGCAGGAAAGAGCATAAAGGAAAAAGGGAAACCAACTTAATTTCTGAGCCATAGTGTCTTTAAGAGCCATGGTGGTGCAGTGGTTAGAATGAAGTATTGCAGGCTAACTCAGCTCAATGCAAGGAGTTTGATTCTGACCCGCTCAAGGTTGACTCAACCTTCCATTCTTCCGAGGTCAGTAAAATGAGGATTCAGATTGTTGGGAGCAATATGCTGACTCTTTAAACCACTTAGAGAAATCTGTAAAGTACTATAAGTCTAAGTGCTATTACTATTGGTATTTAAGATATGGAACAAAATATATTTACTGTCTTGTGCATACCTCTAAGTTGGTTATAATTGCATGCTACACTCTAGTGAATGGTGATAACAAATGGATGAATCATAGGTTTTGGGAAAATTGGCTTAAGGAAAATATTTTAAAGGAAAAATAATTCTGTTAGATGACATAACCAGATAGGTCAGACTGAAAGAGTATATAAAAATGATTGGGCCAGAAATCCTAGAATGAATAAGAATGGTGACTGGTGAGTATTTATTAAAAATATTGTTTGAATTTAATACAAAATTTAACTTTGCATATTGTAAATAATTTAATATAAATCTAAAAGTATTACTAATTTGCCTATTTGCAATGAAACACCAAGAGAACCAATGAAACACCAAGAATGCAAAGGAGATGAGAGTTTCTAAATATGGGACAGACCATTATTTGGTAAAAGTGGATAGTAAACATATGTAAGAAAAGGAAAGTGAAAGAAATAAGTGGTGGAATGACTGTAGAAAAAGAAAGATAAGTCATGTATGAAGTTTTAGAAGATAGATAAATCTTTCAGTATAATGAACACAAAATGCATAGAAGGAAAAAGTATATGGCAGCTGCATGAAAAGAATTACATTACGAGAGCTTCCGGTGGGAGGCGACGGCGATGGCGGCTAGCTTTTAGCCGTCCAGCTGGGGAAGTGTCAGAGCTGCGGAGCGCAGCGCGCATCAGCTGGCCCGCGGCTCGGAAATCCCTTCCCGGGCAAAGGGAAGGGATAGAGAACGCAAGAGTAGAGGTAGAACCCCTGAACCCCCTCTGGATTTATTTCTAGAGGGGGTGAAAGGAGTGTTCCCTCGGAGCTCTTGCTGATCTCCGCCTCCCAGCTGTTTTTGCTTCCTTGGAAGCAAAAGAAACCGCCGCTTCTATCTCCGTGTTTACAGCATTTTGGTGAGTAATTTTTAAACGGACGGAGCAGTTTAAAGGATTTTTTGTTATATTTTAGGTGTTTATTTTTTTTTATCTTTTGATTTTTACTATTTTTCCTCCTTTTCTTTGTTATACTAGTGAAAGGACTTAAGATGGCGTTTTGAAAGTGTCGGAGTTTTTTTTTCCTTTCTCTTTTGTTTTACTTTCCCTTTTTAAGGATTGTTTTTTGCTTTTGCTTTTGCTTTTGGCTTAGAATTTTTTCTTTTGAATTGTTTGCTCTTTTACTACTTATTCTTGGGATTTATTCTGGACTTTTAATGATTATAGTTTGTCTCTTTTTAAAAATTCTTTTTTTCTTTTTTTCCTCCTCCCTTTTTGGCTGGAGGGGAAAGGGAAGTGACAATTGTGCTTTTTAAAATGGCTTCAAAGAGGCAGCAGCCTTCCTCAATACCCAAGGTTATTTCTTCTCCTATAACTTCCACTGCACAGCTACAACAACAATCTAAACATGCACCACCGGCTCAGCCACCACCCTCCCCTCCTCTACCTGGACTTTCAGTACAAGAGGTTAGAGGCATAATGGGAGAGATTGTAGTTCAAATGAGAGAGGAAATGACTCAATTTGTTTCACAGATTAAATCAGAAATTAAATCTGATCTCAAAGAAGAGATAACGGGGATAAAGTCTAAATTGCAAGAAAATAATAATGAATTACGACAAGATATACTGGCAGCTGTTTCAGGTTTGGCTACTGTGGTGGTTAAGCTCGATGCAAGGCTTGAGGAAGTGGAAGACAAAGTTGACTCTTTAGATGACAAAATTCAAGACGTGGAAAGGAAGGTGGACTCCTCACAAGAAGATATTTTGATGTTTCAGTACAGACAGATGGAGTATGCTCTGAGGATTAGAGGCCTCAAGGAAGATATGAATCAAGATTTGATGGAGGTGGTTCTTAGTGATCTGGCGCTGGCTTTGGATATGGATAAAGGAGAATTACAGAGAGAAGTAGAAAAAATTTATAGACTCAACTCCTGGATTGCTAAGCAGAAGAATTTGCCCAGAGATGTGGTGATTTACTTTACAAAGAAGTCCCTGCGGAATGAGATTATACAAGCTTTTTACAACAAAAGATTTCAGATTGCCGCCCAAGATGTCATCATTCTAAAGGAAATCCCATCTAAAATTTTAAGAAGTAGGAAAGACTTTGCTTTTTTAACCAATGAGCTTAAAGCTAGATCGATGCCATTCAGATGGGAAATTCCGATGGGTATCGTTTTGAGCCATGCTGGGACACGTTACAGATTGAACACAGTTGACAAAGCTAGAGATTTCTATACTTCGGTCCTGAGTGCAGGCTCAACTTCATCTGGTCGGAAATCTTTGAGTGCTAAGGAACCTGAGCAGCAATCTGAGGCACTAGATTTGGTTTCCGCAGGGATGATAGAAGTGGCAAAGCAACGCCAAACGGAGGCTAAAGAGCAGAGGATGACTCGTGCAGCTATAAGCGTAAAGAGAAAGAGCAACGTAAAAAAGAGCCCAAAGAGAATTCTCCTGGAAGTGCATCACCGCCGGTGGGAGGAGCAAGACCCAAGAGTTATGCAACACACGCAGCTCTGTCAGAGTTTGATGGTGTCTTCTCCAGGCTGCGTGCCAAGGGAGATGGCAAAGTTTTTGACCTGGAATGTTAATGGATTGAATTCTCCTCAGAAACGGAAAAAAATCTTTTATTATTTGAAGCAACATACCAATGATGTTATTTGTTTACAGGAAACTCATATTCTACTTAAAGATCAGAAATATTTAGTTAATGCTCGTTTGGGATCTCATTTTATATCTCCTGCACCTGGGAAGAAAGGGGGAGTTGTTATATATGTCAAACAAAACCTGCCAGCTTGTCTGGTAGAATCAGATCCCCAGGGGAGATATGTGATGATTGAACTTGGTATTTATGGTAAGAAAGTACTTATAGTTGGACTTTATGCTCCAAATCAACAACAGGAACAATTTTATAAACAGTTACACCAAAAAATAACTTTGCTTGATTATAGATCAGTGGTATTAATGGGTGATTGGAATGGTGTCTTAGACACACAAAGGGATAAGAAAGGTTCCTCTCCTTTTCTTAAACAAGCAAGGCTACCTAAAGCCTTTTTTGATATGAAAGAAGACTGGGAATTAAGGGACTATTGGCGGGAACGTAATCAAGAGGAGAGAGACTTTACTTTTTTTTCTGACAGACACCAATCTTTTTCAAGAATTGACTTTTTCTTGATTACCACGGATTTGTATAATAAAGTAAAGAATGTAAAGATTTTTCCTAGATCACTGACGGATCATAGTCCAGTTTGGATGGAGTTGATTCAAGAGAAAGAGGAAAGAAGATCCTGGAGAGTTAATGAAAATTTGTTTAGACAAGAGAAGAATGTTCAAAAACTAAAGGAGTGTTTAAAGGACTATTTTGCTTTGAATATGTACAAGGGGACTTCAATGTCAATGGTATGGGATGCAGGTAAAGCATTTATGCGCGGTGTTTTGATAAAAATGAATAATTTTTATAAGCGAAATCAGATTCAGAAACGTAGAGAACTTGAAGATGAAATTAAACTAAAAGAAAGGGCTTTGATTCTAAATCCTTCTGATGAAAGTACTAAAGAATCTGTAAAGTTATTAAGGTCACAATTTAATATGTTGATAGCAGATCAAGCTGCAACCAATTTATTATTTATGAAACAAAATACATTTTGTAATGCTAATAAGCCGGGGAGATGGTTGGCT